AAAAAAAAAAAAAACCTCTTTAAAGTGCTGAAGATCAAAGACGTCTCTTTGAAGACTAAGGTTTGCCTAACCCAAGCCATGGTGTTTTCAATAGCCTCACGGTCATGTGAAAGCTGAATGATGAATAAGGAAGACCAAAGAAGAGTTAATGCTTTTGATTTGTAGTGTTGGCAAAGAGTACCGAAAGTACCACTTACTGCCAGAAGAATAAACAAATCTGTCCTGGAAGAAGTACAGCCAGAATGTTCCTTGGAAGGAAGAATGGCCAGACTTGGTCTCACCTACTTTGGTCATGTCAGAAGGGACCACTCCCTGGAAAAGGATATCATGCTTGGTAAAGTGGAGGGTCAAGGAAAAGGGGGAAGGCCTTCAACGAGATGGATTGACACAGTGGCTGCAACGACAAGCTCAGGCATAGCAAGGATTGTGGTGCTGGCATAGGTGTTTCATTCTGTTGTGCACAGGGTAGCTGTGAGTTGGAACTGACTCAACAGCACCTAACACATAGGATCACTATGAATTGGAACCCACTCAACATTACCTAACAAAAAAACACCATAGTAACTTTTTTTTCCCTAAGAGTACCTGTTTCACTGGGTTGTTTGAAGATTAAATAGGAATCTGATCTTCACAATCCCAGCCCCAGCTCCCTAAAACCTTTACCAGTGTACAAGGACACTACAGTAACAGGCACAGGAGCCTGTGTGCAAATCTGGTCCCAAACTCCTACTCAGGAACCAGACACAGGTTTTCTGATAAACCAGGGGCTATTCCTCTCAGGCGTCCATTCTTTCTCCTGAATCCACTGACCCTATCAGCCATGTGGCTGATGGAGACTACAACAGGCAATCAGGTCCTTGATATTTCCTGTGGGGCTTGTGGGAAACAGTACTAAACCTAGCACCTATAACTAAGATGCATGGCAAGTCAGAACTATGGGCAAGTTTCAAGACTGTGATTTACCCAGCCCAGGCTCTGATGGGGCTGCGGTTAAGCCTGCTAATCAAAAGGTCCCTGGTTTGAAACCACTAGCTGTTTTGCGATAGAAAGATGAGGCAGCTTGCTTCCACACAAATTTACAGTCTTGGAAACCCTACAGGGGTTATGAGTGTGAATGGACCAGATGGCAGAGTGTTTGGTTTGGTAGTCAGTTTAGAAAGCACAGGCAGTCACTGCCAGGAAGCCCTCCTTCCCCTCATTTGTGATCTCCAATGCCAAGGCGAGGCACAAAATTCCTGGGAGTGATTTTCTGAGGGAACAGATGCCCTCTCCACTTTCCAGGTGCACCCCTCTAAAGACTACTGAAGTTGCTCTGATGATGGGGGCCTTGGAGACCCCTCACGTTTTTCTTGATTTTTAGGGGTTAGAGAAGATACCCAAATCAGGTCCTGGGGCCTGACTGAGAAGGTTTTCCTCGAGTCTTCACTCCTATAAAGTCCTCTGTGGTACGGATTCCGTCACATTTTTTGTTAGCTTTGACAAGGGAAGGATTTGGTTACCAAAGCTGGCCTATGGCAGCCCCTCAGCTCTGGCCCCCAGTCCCGTCTCAGGAACCAACCCCTGGCGCCTTCTCCAACACTGCCCTGTCCTCCAAGCTCCCTTAACTGGCGGCTCCCAGGCCCTCCAGAACCCCGATAACGGGTCCCTAGCCCTAGGCCCGGGAACCTAGCACGTCAGTCCCTGCCGACAGTCCGGCCTGCACCCGACTCCGGCCTTCCGACTGCTGCAACTCCTAGCCTGAACCCTGAGTCCCCTGCACCGCGGCTCGTGTCCACAGTTCCTGAGTCCTGGATCTCCAGCTTCCTCACCGGATCCCACCCTGGCCATGGCCACTACTCTGCAGCTCACCCGCGTAGAAGGCCGAGACAGCGATGGGCGCGCCAAGCACCTGGTCGCACAACACCTTAGCCAGGATGGCGCGCGGTGCGCGGCCCGGCAGCGCGCGCTCCAGAAAGCGCAGCCAAACGTAGTTGAAGTTGGCTTGAAACGCTACGGCCACGGTGGCCACGCGCCGCGTCTGGCACCAGTCGGCAGGGCCGCCCCTTAGCCGCTGCTGCAGCGCGTCGCCTGCTGAGAAGAGTGTGGCGTAGAGTAGAACATTCGTGGGCCACGGATAGCGCCTGGCCACCCGTGGCAGCACCTGCCACCAGCCGGCCATACCCGCGTCCGTGGTTACGGACAAGCAAGGCAGTGAGCGCCGCCAAGCCGAATTCCCAGACCACACCCGCCGACCGCCCTTTGCCCTCCGTGGCTCCTCCTTCTCCGCAGCAGGGACCACCTACACCTGCCCTTACCCAAAGCCAAAGAGGGATTGGGCGCCCAGCCCACAGATCCAGTCTGGTGGCCCCTGATGTCTGGTGGCCCCTGATCATCGTGGCGGTTGAGTTTTTGAAATGTGGCTGGTCGACCTAATGCACGAGGAAATGCCCAGAACACGCAAATACCCAGAGCATATGGGAAATTAGTGGTTGCCAGGGGTTGAGGAGTTCTGGCGGCGCAGTGCCTAAGGCATTTGACTGCTAACTAGGAAATTGGCGGTTCAAATCCACCAGCCACTCCTCGGGAGGTCGATTGGATGGTCTACTTCCGTAGTGATACCTCCACGGAAACCCAAGGAGGGGTCACTATGAGTCGGAGATGACTCCAGTGGGGGTCATTATCAATCGGAATCGACTTGATGGGAGTGGGTTTGGTTTTTCTATTTATTTTAGGGGTTGGCCTTAGGAGACAATGAGAAGTGACTGCTAGTGGGTGCAGAATCCTTTTAGGGGTGAGGAAAATGTTCTGGAATAGTGGTGATTTTGTAAGCTTGTGAATATACTGAAAGCCACTGAATTGTACAATTTTAAATGGTGATTTTTATGTCTCTATGTTTTAAAAGGAGGGGGGTGATGAAACTCAGTTACCAAAATATTGGTGTGTTTTAAATGTTTACATGGAAGAAAGTGTCATTTTCACCACACACAAAAAACAATGTGTTGCATAACTTCATTTGAAGACAATGTCAAAAATTAAAATTTGACCTCTTTCATGAATGTGAGGGGAGCCAAATATTCCACTTGCCTCCTACCATCCAGAGACTGGGCCTCCATGAATATTGCCTCCAGGAACTGTGCCAGAATTGGGGTAGGGGGCAGTGGGAACCCAAACACATGAAACTCAGTTCTATTTGGTTTTTTTCTTGCCTGTTTTTCTTCCTTTACAGTTACATCCAACCCCACTCTATGGGTCTATCTCTCTCTCTTTCCTATATTTATTTACTCTATAAATTAATTTTTTTCATGTTTAGCTTTTCATTTTGAAATAATTGCGGCCTTACAGAAAAAAGTTGCAAAAATATGACAGAGTTCTCATACACCATCCACTCAAGCTTCCTCAAATATTGACATCTTACATAATCATAGTACAATGATCAAAACTAGGAAATAAGCATTCATGCAATACTATTACATAATTTACAGTTCAAATGATTGCCAGTTGTCCCACTAAAGTCCTTTTTCTGGGATGGCATCCAATCTCAGATCATATTGCATTGTATTGAGTTGTTGTACCTCCTTGCTCTCCTCCAATCTGAGACACTAGCCAATTATTTTGTAGACTGTCCCTCAATTTTCCAACCTCATTCTGTTAATTTTTGGGAATCTGCTTGTTTCTCTGTTCTTTAATTCTTTCTATCTGCCCCGTTTGCTGTTTTCTATCCTTCTCCTGTCCTTGTCCTTGTTACTCGTCCCAAGTAAATAGATCAGATTTCTTCCTGCTAGGCAGGCTCCTAACTCACCAAAACATTTGTTTATTTGCTAACTAGTCATACCCCTCTTGTATTAGTTTCCTATTGCTGCTGCAACAAAATTACCACAACTTTGTGGCTTAAAACAACACAAATTTATTCTCTTACAGTTCTGAAGGTCATAAGTCTAAAATGGGCCTACAAGACTGAGTTCTTCATGAAGGTTCTAAGAGAGAATTCACTTACTTGCTCTTCCAGCTTCTATATGGCTAATAGACCGATTCTCTACCTTCCAAACCAGCAGCTTAGCATTTTTCTGATCTCTCTTGTTTCTGTTTTCACAGTTTTTCTAAGTCTGACTCCTACCTCCCTCTTCTAAGGACCCTTCTGTTGATTACATTAAGGAGTTCTGGTGGCCCAGTGCCTAAGGTATTTGACTCCTAACTAGAAAGCTGATAGTTCAAATTCTTCAGACACTCTACGGAGATTTATAACCCTGGAAACCTAATCGGGGTTGCTATGAGTCAGAATTGACTTAATGGCATTTGGTTGTTTATTATTATTATTATTATTATTATTATTATTATTATATTAGACAAACCCAAATAATCCAGGATAATCTCTCCATCTCAAGTTCCCTAATTTAAAAACCAAATTCCTTTGGTGTATAAGGTAACAGATTCACAAGTTCCAGGGATTAGGATATGGACATCTTTGTGAGGGCCACTATTTAGTCTACTACACCCAAATGAGTTGTGGGATGACATCAAGGACACTATACATGAAGAGAGCAAAAGGTCATTAAAAAGACAGGGTAAAAAGAAAATACCAAAATGGAAGTCAGAAGAGACTTGCTCTTGAATGTAGAGAAGCAAAAGGGAATGGAAGAAATGATGAAGAATAAGAGCTGAACAGAAAACTTCATAGTGGTTCAAGAAGACAAAGTAAAGTAATATAATAAAATGTGCAAAGACCTGGAGTTAAAAAACCAAAAGGGAACAACACTGGTAGCATTTCTCAAGTTGAAGGAACTGGAAAAAAAAAAAAAATCAGGCCTTCAGTTGCAATATTGAAGGATTCTGTGGGCAAAATATTGAATGATGCAGGAAGCATCAAAAGAAGATGGAAGGAATACACTGAGTCACTATACCAAAACTAATTGGTTGAAGTTCAACCATCTCAGGAGGTTCTTAATAAGAACCAATGACATTGAAGAAGTCCAAGCTGCACTGAAGGAATCAGCAAAAAAAAAAGAAAAAGAAAAACCAGTGCCATCAAGTCATTTCCAACACATAGTGACCCCCACAGGGTTTCTGAGGCTGTAAATCTTTATAGAAGCAGACTGCCTCATCTATCTTCCATGGAGCAGCTGGTGGGTTCAAACCACCAGCCTTTTGACTAGCAGCCAAATCCCTTAACCACTACACCACCAGCACTCCTCAGTGAATAACAAGACTCCAGGAATTGACAGGATACCAACTGAAATGTTTCCAGAAATGGATTTAGTGCTGGAGGTGCTCACTCATCTATGTCAAGACATTTGGAAGGGAGCTACCTGGCCAGTCTACAGGAAGAGATATATATTTGTGCCCATTCCAAAGTAGGGTGATCCAACAGAACTTGGAAATTATTAAACAGTATCATTCATCTCACACACAAGTAAAATTTTGCTGAAGATAATAAAAAATTATTATGGCAGTACATTTATAGGGAACTGCTCAGAAAGAAGATGGGCAATCTACTTCCGTAGTGATACTGCCTTGGAAGCCCAAGGAGGGGTCGCTATGAGTCGGGTCCAACTCGACGGCATATAACAACAACAACAGGCCAGAAATTCAAGCCAAATTCAGAAGAGGCTGTGAAACAAGGGATATCTTTGCTCATATCAGATGCATCTTAGCTAAAAGCAGAGAACACCAGAAAGGTGTTTACCTGTGTTTTATTGACTGTGTAAAGGATCATAATTGTGTGGATCATAACAAATTATGGATAACATTGTGAAGAATAGGAATTCCAGAACACTTCATTATGCTCATGAGGAACCTGTACATAAACCAAGAGAGGCAGTCATTTTAACAGAACAAGGGAGTACTGAATAGTTTAACATCAGGAAAGGTATGCATCAGCATTGTATCCTTCTCCATATTTATTCAATCTGTATGCTGAGCAAATAATCCATGAAGCTGGACTATAAGAAAAACACAGCATCAGGATTGGAGGAAGACTCATTAACAACCTGCAATATGCAAATGACACAACATTGCACCCTGAAAGTGAAGAGACTCGAAGCCCTTGCTGATGAAGATAAAGACTACAGCCTTCAGTATGCATTAAACTTCAACATAAGAAAATAAAAATCCTCACAACTGGACCAATAAGCAACATCATGATAAATGGAGAAAAGATTGAAGATGCAAGGATTTCATTTTACTTGGATCCACAAGCAACACCTATGAAAGAAGCAGTCGAGAAGTCAAAGGACATAATGCATAGGGCACATCTGCTATAAAAGACCTCTTTAAAGTGTTAAAAAGCAAAGATGTCACTTTGAGGACTAAGGTGCACCTGACCCACACGATGGTATTTTCAGTCTCCTCATAGGCATGAGAAAGCTGGAAGGTGAGTTTAAAAAATAAAAAACTCAAGGCCTTTGGTTGTGGTGTTGGCAAAGAATATACAATATACCATGGACTATCAGAGAAATTAACAAATCTGTCTTGGAAGAAGCACATCGAGAATATTCCTTAGAAGCAAGGATGGTGAAACGTTAGCTAATGTACTGTGGTCATGTTGTGAGGAGGGGCCAGTCCCTGGAGTGGGACATCATGCCTGGTGAAGTAGAGGGTCAATGGAAAAGAGGAAGAGCCTCCACGAGGTGGACTGACCCAGAGGCTGCAACAATGGGCAAAAGCACAGCAACAGCTACGATGATAGCACAGCGTTTCATTCTGTCATACACAGGGTTGCTATGAGTTGGAACCAAGTCAACAGCACATAACAACAACAACATCCCTCTTCATCTTGTCTTCTTTCTCTGCATTCCTGCAGGCCAACCTAACAGCATTTGATGACTGAAATGTTGGCTGAAATCAAACTGCCCATTTCTCAACCCATACACATTAAGATGATTTGTTTATCAGCCATTTGCTTATTCATTCATTCAGTTGATAAAATATTTACTGAGCTGTGTGCTGTGGAAATCTATAAAATCTGTATTTATATTTGAAATTCCTTTATTAAAAAACGTATAATTTCTGCTTAAAAACTCAAAAAACCAAACTCACTGCCATCAAGTCAGATCCAACTCACAGCGACTCCTCCTTGGTTTTCTGAGGTGGTTATCACTATAGTAGTAGATCACCCAACCTTCCTTCTGAGGAGTGGCTGGTGGGTTTGAACCACCAGCCTTCTGGTTAGCAGTCCAATGCCTT